ACCACATGGATGAACACTGAAAACATCATGCCAGGTAAAAGGAGGCAGACCAAAAAGAGGTCACACGTCCCGTGATTCCACTATATGGAATATTCAGAATAGACAGATCCAGAGGCAGAAAGTACATCAGTAGGTGTCACAGCCTTGGGGAGCCGAGGATGCCAGGTCCCTGCTATGGGTACAGTGTTTCTTTTTGAGGTTATGAAAATGTTCTGGAATTAGGTAAGATGACTGCATAATTTTATGAATATGCTAAAAAAACTGCCACTAAAATATATATGTATATAAGCTTATGTATACTTGTTGTTTGGTGGTATTGGTACTAGGGATTGAACCCAGGGTCTTTGCAATGAGCTACATCTCAGTACCTTGTTTATTTTGAGAGGGTCTTGCTAAGCTGCTAAATTACCCAGACTGGACTGGAACATGTGATTCCTCCTGCCTCAGCCTCCTAGAGTGCTAGGATTATAGGCCTGCACCACCACACCTAGTTTGAATTGTGTATTTTAAAAAAGTGAGCCAGGCGTGGTGGTGCATGCCTGTAATCCCAGCACTTGGGAGACTGAGGCAGGAGGATCGTTGTGAGTTTGAGGCCAGCCTGGGCTACAAAGTGAGCTCAAGGCCAGCCTGAAATGCATAGGGAGACCCTGTCTCAAAAAGGAAAAAAAAAAGTGAAATTCATGGTGTGTGGATTGTACCTCATTTTTAAAAGGAGGAAGTATGAAGGCACATGAAGTACATCCTGAAGAAGTGCCTCGCTCGGCTGGCAGCGGAAGAGACCCCGCAGCATCCAACCTGCAGAGGAAGGGAAGAAGGGGCGGGGCGACACTTCCAAGCTGCGGGGCAAGGACACGGAAGTAGGGGCGAGAGGAAGAGGGTTTTTGGTGGGTGCGATGGCTCTGTGTTCCCCCGCAGAGGAGCAGGCCCAGTCCCCGCTGGGAGAGGCACGGTGGAGGAGGGGTGGTGTCTGGGAGGGGTGGGACTTGGGAATCCACTGCGAAGTTCAGAGCAGCCTCGGGGAATCAAAGGGCGCCCCGTGACCGTGACGGTGACGGTGACGCACGAAAGGGCTGCTGAGTAATTCTGAGGTTGGAAACCCACCTTGGTGATTTCGCATCTCCTCCTCGGGGCCTGAGTGAGCCCTTTGTGGGCTTCGGAACACTGGGCTATTGATGCCCGGCCCAGGGGTCGGGTCTCGGGCGTGGCCTTCCCCTCCAGGTACCCTTGGCCCTTAGCAGGTCAGCCAGGGGTCGTGGGACGCAGGCTGGGGACCCCAGTTGGTTGGGACCCTAAAAAGGTGGCAGGCACAGCTGAGGGCCTCGGCCCTGGCAGCCAACGCTGCGTTTTTGACCCCACTCACAGCTAAGTTTCATGCTGTGTCCCAGCCAGCTCACTGCCCTCGGTGGCCCTGGAGGGCTCCCCACTGTGTGTGCTCTGAGAGTTCAGGCTGTGCCCGACGGTGTCCCTGGGTTTGACACTCGAGGCCAGTGTGGAGGGAGGGGGCCCCGTGTCACAAGCACCCAAGGTCACAGAGCCGGACTTCTTGGGCACTTCCTGGCTGGAAATTGTCCCCAAGACTGCACCCTACACACTTGCTCGGGCCCCAGGCGGGATGTGGCCAGGCACACCCCACAGGCCCCTGGGCCTTGGCAGGATGTCATCTCAGCCTGCCCTGGCCTTTCAGCTCCTCCTGAGGTCGCAGTCAACCTCCTTGGTTTGACTTTTTTCCTTCGTCATCAAGGTTCCTTCACTGAGAAATTTCCCAGAACAGTGGACCAATGTACACCTCAGTCTAGGCCACCTGCTTTTGCATTATTAAATGAAATGTGTCAGCCCAGCATGGTGGCACACACCTGTAATCCCAGCACTCTAGGAGGCTGAGGCAGGAGAATCACAAGTGTAAGCTCAGCATGGACTATTGCATAACGTGGTGGAAATGTATCTATCAGACTGGGCCCTGAATGCAGATTCAGTCAGGTATGATCCCTGCCGTCCGGGTGCTCCCAGTCGGGGAGGCGTGCCTTCTGTGCCCAGTGAGGGTCTCAGCTTTACCTGGAGGGCTGAGGTGGGGAGGAGGCGCGGGGACAGGGCCCCCAGACCAGCAGTGGGGCAGGCAGCTGCACCAGAAGCAACGCAGAGGTTCTTCCCAGAAAATCAAGCAAAGCAGAGAGGTCAGCAAGATTAGGCCTCAGAGGGGCACCGACTCTTGCTGGCTCCTCCCAGGGGTCCCCTCCTGCTTCCCCTCAACGTGGTGGGGGAGCCAAGCGAAGGTGGCAGCACCCGCCTGTAGCAAACGTGAGCGTCAGGAGCACGGAGACTGAACCAGTGAGTATGCACGTGTCCCCGGAGACGCAGGCGGGGGCTGCGGGAGGCAGCTGCGTCTCTTCTGGGCCTGTGTGCCGCCCCTAGACGGGAGCCTCTGTCATCCTGAGTTCCTGCTGTTTGCACCGTGGAACCCTTGGGTCTGATCTCTCCCCACTCGGCCAAGTGCAAGCCCATGGCCAAGGCTGAGCCCGGCAGGAGCCCCTGGGAATGGGGCGAGATGGGAGACAGGAGAGGCCGCCACCCACTGCCTGCTGCATTCCTTTCACTCTTCTTTGCTCTCCTTTGCCCCCTCCCTCTCCCTCCCACTCCCTCCCCTCCCTGCTCCCGGGACTGGGGATTGAACCCAGGGCCTTTGCCCTGAGCCATCCCCGCTTCTGAGATGTGGTCTACGTCACTAAATTGCCCTGGCTGGGCTCCAGCTTGGGATCCTCCTGCCTCAGGCTGCCAGAGTGCTGCAGGCGGGTGCTACCACATCCAGCCCAGATTCATTCTTAGTCTTAATGGTTAGGAATTAAGAATATTTCCTTTATAAGAAAAACAAAACGATTCTCAGCTTATTACAATTTTTGTAACATCTTATATGGTCATAGACCAGCTGACATTTTTTGTCTCTGGCGTTTTTGCCTCCTAGCTGAAAATGCGCGTGTGCACACACAGGCAGAGACCCGGGAACACAGAGGCGTGTCTGCTCAGCGATGCCTGCACTGCCTGCCTGCCCGCCCTGCCTGTGCCTTCATCTTCGCGGGGGTCAGGCGCGCTCCTAAGAGGTCAGCGAGCGCAGGTGCCAGGAAAGAGCCCCCTGCCCCGCGCAGCCAGCCCAGCTCTGGGGCTGGGGAAACGAGGAGCCTCCGGCTGGTCTTCCCCTAGGGAAGAGGAGCCTGGACTCCCCAGTGACAGTGGCTGCCGCGCCTGCCTGCTGTCCACCCCCCACGCCCCTCAGCCTCTGCAAGGCGCCGCCCCTCAGCTCCCCTCCCTGCCACGCCTTTCCCGCTCCCTTCCAGTCAGGTGCCCGACAGCCCGTGAGGGCCGGCTGCGGGAGTGGCTGTGCCCGATCTCCGTGGCTGTGCCGGATCTCCGCTGCTGTCCCAACTGTGGCCGAGGTGGGCGGTAAAATGTCCCTGGGGCCACCAGGCTCGTCTAGAAGGCGTGAGGTGGGTTATGTCGCCACCTATTGCCTGATTCGCTCCGCAGAGGTCAGCGGGGCCCCTCTGCCCGTGTCCCCAGGGAAGGGCTGCGGATCCTCAAGGCCAGACAGCAGCGGCGTCTGTGGGGAGGCGTGCAGGCCCCTCCAGCCCTCACCATCCGGCGTGCTGGGGTGCTGGGGTGCTGGAGCTTTGTCCGAGCAGTTACTCAGGCCTCTAGGCTGTGCCCGCCCTCCTCTCCATCCTCCTCGGCCACACGGAAGCCTGGTGCTTTTCCAAGGACGGATCCCAGGGTCCAGTGCTTGCTAGGCAAGTGCTCTACTACTGAGCCGCATGCCAGCCTGTCTGCTGGGCCTGGGCCTGGGACGCAGGTCCTGCGCACTGGGCAGCATCCCCGGCCCTTTTTTAGTATTTTGAGACAGGGTCTCCGTGAGTCACTAAGTTGCCCTAGCTGCGGCGACCCTCCTGCCTCAGGCTCCCAAGTGCTGCGTTACAGGCCTGTGCCGCCACGGAGGGCTTGCCAAGGCGGAGGATCACCGAGCCCCGGAACTGGAGACCGGCCAGCAACTTCCCGACACAGAGACGGAGACCAGAGAAGGCCCCGGGGGAAGGCAGCCGCGCCACCGCTGGGATGACAGGGTGGGCTTTTCGAAAGACCCCTGGGCTGCATGACCAAGGGAGAAGGCCCGGGAGGGACGGCGGGCGGACGACCGCAGCGCTGGGCAGTGCCGGCGGGACAGGGCGGTGCTTTGGTTTGGGCCCTTCTGACGGTGGAGAGACTAAGGGACATCTGACGGCAGGCCAGGCCAGGTGGTGGCTGAGTTCTGAGGTCTGGTGGGAACCACCAGCAGTCAGCAAGGCCCTCAGCCTGGAAGTTTAGGGAGGGTGGTGTCTTTGGGATGGAGACCATTTCAAAGGAGCGAAGTCAGATCCAGTCAGGCCAACGAAAGTCCGCTGGGTCTGACCCCGAGCAGCTCAGTGGAGGCAGGCAGCGAGTGGGGACGGCTGCCTCCAGATGCAGAGCCAGCTCAGACAGAGGGGAGAGCAGGGGGCGCAGACAGCACGGTGGCGGGGGGTTGGGGGGGGCGGGGCGTGCCGGCAGAGAGCTGAGGGCAGCACGTGGGGCCTGCAGGGAAGACCTGGCCATGTGCTGCGGGGGTGACAGAGCGAGGGGACAGGCCTCCCAGCCCCAGCCCCAGGCAGGGGGCACAGCACACAGGGTGCTGCGCAGAGCAAGGACCAGGGTCTTGCTGGGAGGCCAGGCCCCAGCCCCCGAGTTGGGCAGGGAGCCCCCAGTGTCTAGGAGCGGGGTGCTTACTGGCTTTGAGGTTCCAGCTAACTTGCCTTTTAACCGCTCCCCACAGGCGGGAGCGGGCGTTAGAGAACCCAGCGGCACACGCCCGCGCTGCTCTCAGGTGAAGGGCGGGGCCCGCTCCACGAACAAACGGACGCCCTTCCCTGCCGCGGAGGCCCCGCCTCGCCTCACCTGCGGACTTTACCAGGTTAGCTGACTTCGCACAGATCACCCCAATGGATCTTGCAGGACAAGGGAATGTTTATTTACAACAAAAACATTTGTAACATAATTCTGTCTTCAAAACAGAGAGGCCAGGAGGACACACAAAGCAGTCTCTATTTGTATGTACCCTGGACGTGAGCAGCCGAGGCGGGGCTGGGACTGGGACAAGCGCCAAGGACTAATTCCTCCCCCAAAACACAAGAAACTGCCTGTCAAAAAGTAGCAGTTTTCTACTTGTCAGTAGCTACCCTTCCCTTGCTGCGTGAAACACAAAACAGAAACAGCAGGGGACCACACAGGTCAGGTCAGCCGGGGTCAGGGACGGCAACGGGCTGCGCAGCTCCGCGCAGGCCCCGCACACTCTTTCCAGCAGCGACCCACAGCTCCAGCGGCCGGCCCACGTCGCTCGCTCCGTGCGGTTAGATGAGGAATCTAGGAATAAACAGAGCCGTTAGGAAGGCCGCAGCCCAGCAGGCACAAGGCTGTGAGGAGGCGCCACTGTGCAGGCGCCGACCGGCACAGAGGAGCCAGCCGGGTGCTGGCCTGCGGATGGGCAGCCGGAGTCAGCTGCCTGTCACCCACCCGGCAGCCCCGGGCACTGCTACGCATCGGCAGGGCGGCTGCGAAACGCTAGGAACGCAGGACAGGACCTCAGGGAAACTGCACAGGAAGGCCCCGAAGACATCATCCAGGGCATCTTCAGTTTCCAGATGAGGCCTCAGGTGAATGTCGGCTTTTTCCTTCCAGTACTAGGGACTGAAGCCAGGGTCTTCACATTAAGCTACATTGCCCGCCTTTTAATTTTTTTTTTAAACTTCAAGACGAGGTCTCACTAAGTCGCCTAGGCGGGCCTCGGCCCTGCCTCAGCCCCCACACTGCTAGGACTGCAGGTGTGCACCACCACGCCCAGCTCAAATACGCACTCTGATACCGGCAGGGCTTGGCTGGCCTTTCTCCACTGGTCCTCGGGGCGGGAGCACAGGTCCTGACCACCTGAAGCCCACAAAGACGCTGGGGGAGCCCTGAGGAGAAGCTGCTTCTCTCTCACGGGACACCACGAACCTCCTCACCATGCACGAGCAGCTCAGGCCCCCGGGTGTGACCGAACACAAAGCCTGGACAAACACGTGCCCTGCCCTGGCGTGACCGCGGCCTGGGCTGTGGCTTCTGCACGGGTGCGGGGGGGAGTGGGGTCCGAAGTCAGACTGCTCCTGGCTGCACAGGGCCGCGTCTAAGGAGAGGAAAGGAAGCGGCCAGGGCGCCTTGCCCTGTGTTTGTTCCCACCTCCTCATTCACACCTAGCTGCAACCGTGCTTTCTGCACCCGCCATTCCGCGAGCCCCTGCTGGCTACGCACTGAGTCTTTGCTCCGCGGCATTTGTACCACAACAGACTCTTCTCCTCACAAGCTTGGGTTGCTTTGGTAGCTCTGTTACAGTAGTATAAAGCAAACTAGCACAGGATACTGTGTTTGGTATTTTAAGTCAGTAAATGAAAAGTTTTTGGTACAACTATTTATAGATATTTGAACAAATATCTATAAAAACAAAGATATCTATTAATCTAAAATATCTATAAATCTTAGATATCTATAAAACAAAGATAGCTATAAAAAATATCTATAGAAACAAAGTTAGATCACTGCTTCAAGTTAAGACTTCAAATAAACTACTGGCAACTTAAAGACCTTGCCATGAAAATAAAGTTGTAGAGCTATTAGAAACAGAAGACATTATCAGTTAAGAAGGGAAAAATGCAAATAGTAGACGAATAAGAAGATGCTTATTACTTTCAGAAGTAATCGAAGACACAGGAGCTCCCATGGGCGGAAGGTGCCAGCAGGCCTCTCCCACGGGCGGCCTCACGGGTGGTCCCGCTCAACAGGGACGAAGCTGCAGGACACGGACACCGGAAGCAGCGCAGGGCTCAGCGCTGTGCCCCTCCCCTCCTGGGGCTTCAAGTCGTAGCCCGATCTCCACTGCCCTCCTCCTGCCTCTCCTCCCCACTTCCAAAAGCGCCCCAATTCTTTCCTCTTGCACATCAAGCAGCCTGAGGAAAACAAGAAATTCCTTGCAGCTTGCGATAAAGAGTAAATTTAGTTCCCTTTACCTCAGTTTCTCCTACTCAGTTCACCGAAGACCTTTCATTACAAAGTATTCTGTCAGTGATTTGCTTAGGCCAAGTGTTCTCTGCTTAGGAGGAAGGCCATCTCCTTAGGCAACCAGGTGAAGCTGCATAAAATGTTTACTTCTGGGCCAGGGATGTAGCTCAGCGGCATAAGCGCCTGCTGGTAAGCGCAAGGTCCTAAGTTTGATTCCCGGTACCAAAAAAATAAAGTTTATTTCTGCTACATGAAAGATTCAATAGTAGCCGGTTGTGCCAGCACAAACTTGTAATCCCAGCACTCTTGGAGACTGAGGTAGGAGAATTGAAAATTGGAGCCCAGCCTGGGCAAGATCCTGTCTCAAAAAAAAAAAAAAAAAAAAATTACTCGGGCTGTAAGGATGTAGCTCAGTGCAAAGGTCCTGGGTTCAACCCCCAGCAATAACAAGGGAGGGAGGGAGAAAATTTAATAGCGTAAACCACGGTAACAGGTCCAAGGGGCAGGGAGAAGCTTGTCTTTGTGGCAGGAAGACACTTGATAATCATTCTGATAAAAACAATTAGTAAAAATTTCCTTGAAGTGATTCTAAATAAGAATTTATCTCCACTCAAAGCCAGCACCGTGCTTCATGGTGGGAGGAGAGGCCGCTCTGCCCCAGTTGGGGGAGATGTGGCTACCACTGCTCTGTGAGCCGGAGCTGCTCACAAAGCCAGAGATGCAAACTGCAGCAAGCAGAAGACACAGTGGCCATCGCTGCATTCCAGGACCAGACACCTGCACGTCCAGTGAAGCAACTGACATAACTGACTGGCAGACCCAGTTCCAGGACACTGGGGAAAAATCAGTCAGGTGTGTGGTTACGGAGGAACAAGCAGGCAGTTCCGGAAAGGCTGCCTCACGCTGCAGCCCTGCGAGAAGATGCTCAGTCAGGGGCCGCTGGGGCTATCAACGAGATCCTACCACAGGCGACCAAACTGACAGAGATGACAAAGCCAACGCTACCAGACATGGGAAGGCCATGGAGCAGAATCCCTCTGACGGCCCAGAGGGGATGGCGGACAGGCCAAGCCCTTGGAGAGGTGGATTTAGCAACATCTGGCTCAGGTGAAGACACAGCCATCACAACCCAGGTGCAGGCCTGGCCTTTTGACAAGCAGTACAGCACCCTCGGGTGTGGGGATGGCACCCCACTGCTTCCTGCTGCTCACTTCTGGTCACTGTCTCAGGAGTCTTCAGGCCCTCCAAGGGTGGAACCAGTCATTTCTTAAAAATGAGGCAGTTCTTCATATGCACCCAGAAACACCGCAAATGGATTGAAAAACCATATTCTAGTACAAACATGTAACTCTATTTGTGGAGAAGATTTAACATATATTAGACATCCTTTTTTTTTGAGACAGGGTCTCGCTTGGCAGTTCGGGCTGGCCTTGAGCTCACTTTATAGCCCAGGCTAGTCTTGAAGTCCCAACGATCCTCCTGCCTCAGCCTCCTGAGTGTTGGGGACATTCTTGAATATTTACCAAACAAAATTTCAAACAGGATACATATGAAACATCAACAGGATTACCCCTGGACAGTGGGCTTGGGAGCTAGGGAGACTTCCTGTCCCTTTTTGTTGGTTCGAACTCTAAGCATGCAGCATTTTTATGACTTAAGCTTCTGTATTTCCATACAACTGGAGGGGAGAAGAGGAAATACAGAGAGGACAGCGAGCAGATGACTGTCAAAGATGGGCAGCAGTGCTGTTCCCTTCACCTTTGGGTGGATAGAAAAGGTCCACGGTGAAAGGTGGCGTGGTCAGTGACAACAGGAAGGAGTTTCAATCCAGTCTGTGTCCCATACAGTGCTTTAGAAGGAAACCACTGATCAATACGCTCTAAGCATAAATGCAGCGGGCAGAGAGAAGCGCCAAGTCCCCGCAGGCTCAGGGATCTGACGAGGTTCAGGTAGTTCAGCTTTCAAACTGGAACCAACCAAAAGCAGCACTTTCGTATAGATGAAAATGCATCAAAATAGAAAAGCTTACACTTCACTTGGAAAACCCAACACACAGCGCACCGAGGTACAAAAGCAGAGCGAAGAGCTTCCTTGTGTCCATGGCTCACGGAAAGAGAAGCCCGGAGACCGAGGGAGACAATGGAAGTCAGACTGGGGCAGAACACAGACAGGTCCGGCAGGGCAGACTCGGTGGAACACATGAATACTAGACGTGCGGCTTCCCATGGCCTCGGGAAACGGCACAGCGGACGTGAGACACCCCAGGCGTGACACCGACGGCCCACAATCATCACGCGAAACAGTGAGCAGCAATCAGAGAAGACTGAAGCGCAGCGAGACGAGAGGAGTGAGGTGACCCCGGACCGCGGGCTGGGCGCTGCGAGCGCAGGGGGTTTACGGCGGAAATCCGAGGACAAGGAGCTGAAAGGCAGGGCAGGGGAAGCAGCGCTCCACTCCCACGATGGCCAGGCCCGCAGCCCTTGGCCATGAGTCCACGACGGCCACCCAGCGTCCACGGTCAGACGGGAACATCATGTGGGAGCCTCGGAACCACTCGGTCACACGGCCCTTGGAGAACAGGAAGGAAGCTCGGATCGCTGTCATTCCTGAGGGCATGAGACACCGTGCAGAGTAGCTGTGGGCGCTCCTCCAAGCCCCACACACCGCTTCCCTTTCCCGGAAGGCCAGTCCTGACACTCCGGGCATCTCATGGAACCCCCGCTGAGGGAGAAGAGTTTCCAGGAGCCCGAGCCCTCATGCTGTCCGATGTGATGCCCTTGCCACCCCACGTGGCTTGTCCTCCGGCCTGTCTGGTCCTAAAGCCACTCACGGCCGGGCCCTCCCCAGCTGGCACACTTTCCTGCTCCTCCAGCCCCTGCCGTGGCGCCATCCTGCGCAGACGCTTGGGCCCTTCCCAGGGGCCACGCTCCCACCTCCTCCTCCTAGGCACCAGACTCCTGGGACCGCACGGCCGGCCCTCGGTGGTCTCCCCAGCCTCGCGTGCGGGTGGAAGCTGCAGAGAGCGCGCCCAGATGCTCCCGCGCACGGCCCTGCCCACTCCTGCTGCCGCAGCCAGAGGGCCGCCCCTCTGCCAGTCACCGGATAATCCACGCTCATTCTCCAACTCTCCGCTCACAAAGCAGCTGTCCGCAGCTCTGAGGCAGACTGAGAAACGGGCTCAGACAGAGCCAGAACTGAAGCACTGTGGGGCTGCCTCTGAAGAGCTGTTCGCCGAGGGACACAGGGAGCCCCAGGCCACTTCCAACAGAAGCACAGGGAAAGGGAAGCAGGGCTGTCTGTGGCCATCAGAGCCGGCGCGCCAGCGAGTGGAG